CTCCCGCCTCACCCAGGCGGGAGCAGTCATTCGATGATTTTTCCCCCCTTAAAAAAAAAAACCGTTAGGTTCTCCGCGACGTGTTTGTCACCCCTATTGGGCTTCACCCGTGGTGGTCTGATAGCTCTTTGAGGCGCGAGGCAGGAGGTTACCCCTCCAGCCGTTATTTCGGACTCACCCGGAGGTGGCGCGTTCCCGCGGCCATGAAAGCACAAGGCCTCGAACTTGTCGCCATGAACCGCTGTCGCCATCCAGTTGGCTGCCGCCTGGTGCGACCTCCAGTGCGCTAACACCAGCATGTCGTCGGCGTAGCATAGCATACGATGCTAACTGTTACGAGAGTCCTTTAGGATTTCTTTAAAAAAAACTATTTTTATAGTAAAACTATTTTAATCAATTACAAGGACTGAGTATGCGACCGTCCCGTTCGGAGATTTAGTTCAGACTGAGGGGTCTGGCAGGCAACCTTACACGCTAAGATTTACCTTATCTATATGACAATGCAGTTTTATGTCATACCAGCATAAACCCTTACATATCAGGGATATAACATAACGACATTTGGGAGGTTGGTGTAGGGACATACCTACAAAGCAGAATTTGGTACGATATCTTACTTGGCTGGGTCTGGTGTTCCTCGGAAGAAACATTTCAACATTGGATCATATCGTACGCGCCACTCGCATCAGCTCTGACGCCGGAATTACAATAAAATATTCTAAAATTAGTCTTGGCTCCAGCATCAATTCAGTATCATTTTCTGCATTCTGTGAATAAATCAAAAAATTAAATTAGACATACAGCTAAGATGACCTAAAGTTGGATACACATCTTCTAGAAAGAGGCTCGTAGACGTATACAGCTTGGTTGGGCAGCGTGTAGAAAACTTTTCGGGAAGTCGGCAACGAGTGAATTTTATTTACCATGCAACTGAGACATGCACTGCCAGGGCGACTGAACCAATAAAATTTAAAATCGCGCAGTGAGTTACAGAGATCTCCGATAAGAGGTGATCTAACGAGGAAACTACGCCTAGGCAAATGTATTGTAGGGCAGGGCTGAAGATCACAATAAAACTTGAGTCCACTTACTTTTTAATACGACGGGCCTCCCCATGGCGGACTCAGGAAGACCATATCCGCGCTGAGTTGCGGTGCCAACTGGAAGAAGTCGCCGACAACGAACTCTATTTTCTTTGGCGTTTTGTTGGGCCTTCTCAATCTTTTTCGCATCTATATCCACTGCGATGATTGTTGAATATAATCAGACATTAGATAACAACACAATAACAAAAAATAACACGTACGCAACTACTGGTTTCTAGTGGAAAACAGTAGGTATCGATCGAAGAGAAGTGTCACCTACCCCGATTACAGGTCTCCGCAAACTGTACAGTATTGCCGCCAGCCCCGCAGAACGCGTCCAAGACAACGTTGTATTGATACTTTTGAGCGATGTGCGCTGCCATACGCTCCGGCTCTCGCGATCCAACTTGACCCCTTCGTCGAATCTGTAGCCAAGGAATCGAAACGTTACACTTCTGTTATAAGACAAAGTCTCAATTGAAAATAACTTGATTTTTTAATTAGATAAATTTTATTTAATGTCTTAAACCACAAGACTGTGAGTATGCAATAAAAAAAAGTGAAGGGTATTTGAATGGTGGTATTTGAAGAAAAAAATCTTATTCCTAAATCCAGCTAAAACCAAATTTATGATCTTTTGCACCCCAGGCCTATTAGAACTCCACTGAGCACAAACTTCCGTAACAATTAATGAAAAGG